CATGCTTATTAATTAGGCATTACAATTTTGCGTGGGCTTTGAAGAATTCTCAAGACTATCACAATACGTAGACTTTATTTTTCTGTTGCACGTTTAAAAGCGAAAGAGCAACTTACTATTACTAGTGATTCGAAGAAAACCAAATATTAGAGCCGTATATTCAAACAAAGGATTCAAGAAAAATTATGGTCTTTGTTAAATAGTAACGGAACTTGTTTCATGAACAGGGATTCTACAGTTCTTCTATAGTTTCAGCATACAGAGAAAAATTCCTTTAAAATTCAGAATCCTATTTTCAATTATTTACTACTGAAACGGACACATGCTCCTTCGCGTTTTAGAGACGGTTGTGAGTCTGCAGAATATACCGTTCAAATAAGCTTTTGACAAATACTTCTCAGACGCCATTTGAGTTTATCTCAAAATTTCAGGTCATTCTAAGTAGCTTACTATTTTTATTGCATCCTCGTGCACGACTTGGACGCTTCAATGGTGCACCGCGCATCGATCATCACTCGATCAAACGTCCCCGCTGGAGGGGTGCACAAAGGTCTTCAGTGAACACTTTCACCAACAGACACAAAACTTCCCTACGCACTATTATATAGCGCTATCGGAATAATTTTAGCATAGAAAATTTTCCCGGTCAGGGTATTTGTGACTCAAAAATATCAGCGCGGTCGATGTAACTTTACCAAAAATCCAAAAAATTAATGTATAGTCTGGGTATTATCAGCAGAATATTACTAAAGTTGCAATTATTTATAAGTGCGAGTTATTTGCAAAAAGATAATTATAATTGGCGGACGCCAAAATTTCGATTGACAGGGATCAAAAAAAGGTGCGCCCGCATACATCATACATAGCGCCTTCAACATTGTCGAAATACTTCAAACACTACACCGTAACGCACACGTTCCGATGTGCAGGTTGCCTATACAGCGCCTTTTTAATACACACTTTTTCAATGTCATCATCGTGTCGTGATTTTAGTGTCATTTTACCCCGAAAAAATTATTCACACGATTGTATCTCTTGCTTGGAAACGACTCATTCACGATTGAGGACACACATTTTGCGAATTTGCACAAAACAGGATTGCCACAGAATTTTGGAGATGAAATTCCCTGACACATTCGATTAAATTCCCTGACACACTGGAAAAAAAAAACACATTGGATCTGGAGTCCATATTCTTGAAAACACTGACAAGAAAAAGTACTCTTGATTTTTGCTTGAATCAAAACGAATTATGCTTAAATTAAGAGGCTTGGTTCTTGATTTAAGCTAGATTCTGATTGAATCAAGAGTACTTTTTCTTGTCGATGTCTTTCAGAGTCTGGACTCTAGATTCAATGTGTTTTTTTTCCATAGCAATTGAAGATACACTAGATGGTTAAAAATACATTATTTGAAAAAGTTTTCAAGCGAAGTTGTTGTTCAAACCGTCAAACCCATCTTAAAAAGAAAATAAAAGTGAATTAAAAATTTTCCTCCAACACTTTCATCATTTTCCCTGACATTTCCAGGTTTTCCCCGACTTTTTAAAATTCCCCGACATTTCCCGGTTTTCCGGGTCGCTGGACACCTGCTGATGCTTCGCCGGCTGTTATCACACCCAAAATGATTCTCCTCTGCGTTAATTGAAATGATGTACCGTGGCCGGCCGCGGTATCATCGTTACATATTCCGGGGCAACTGTATCAAAGTAAGGTACTGCATCGGACCTGCTGTCGCGGCTAATTTATGGTAATCAATTTATGATTAAACTGTCAAAATATTAACCACTTCTGACGGAAGAGTCGTAGCGGTTTGCGGGAAAATATATAAATAATGCATGCCGCGGGGAGCGGTGATTTATAGACCACCGCTATGCACACCGCGCGCCACGTTATTACCAGGTCGTTCGGCGAATTATCGATCAATTTAATGAACTCGCTTGAATGAACCGCGTGCAAGTCCGACATACACCTTAACTTTTCAATAAAATTTGTACTTTAGCCCCTGATTATGGTTTCACGTAAAAGAACCGAATCAAAACAGGTGCGCACTGAACATAGTTCCTTCAAAAATGATGCAGTATGAAATAAAGTAAAAACATGGTAGGTTAAGAACTTTCAACTTTGGAATCCTTGAACCCTGGCTTAAAATTTATACTTATTTTTTTATATAATGTTATACACTTTCCATTAGTTTTATCCTCTGAATTCATCTCTTATCATGATCTAAGTCAATTCTTGAAACAATTTCATTCAACATCTCCATTTTCCTTCCCTGTCAGCTGGAAAAAAAACCAGCTTGATCGCCTTTGAATGTGAGGGTTGCCAATGGCTGTTCCGGATATTTCATATGAGAAGGTTGGCTAACCTTTTAGGACTCGTAAGGCCTCCATGAACCGATCTGTCCGCACTCTCCCAATCTTGGTGCTCTGCATTCAACCAATCGAAAAAGCGACGCTTAGACATACATATATTTTTAAAAGCATTACCGCGTATGTGAGGTGCTTGACAAAAAAGAGCTCGACACTCGCCGTTCGGATGAAAGCACCCTCGAATGCAAACCCCCACTTTCTGAGATCGCGGTTTGCGGGTGTTCAAAATCCCCTTCGCAAAATCCGCAACTCTGAAGGCTGAGGGGCAGAGTGGATTGAAAAGCTCTTTTTATAAGTTCACAAGTGAGCTTGTCGGTGCGGATGAAAGGATTTCCGCATTTTTTGGAGGTAAATAAATGTCACGATTTTCCTGTCTACTGATACTGTTGCCGATACAATTTTTATTATTGGTCTGTGGAAACTGTGAGCGCTGTTTGTGGTGACATCGGCAACATACTCTCGAACCCCAGTTGCCACATTTTGACGAGAGATCAAATGAACTTCTCGTTTATAAAATCGGCGCGTTTCGGCCTATCCGTGCATCGTTTGGGACGCAACACCAGATGACAACAACGACTGGAGTGGCGCACAGTGGATTCAGTTGTTAGGAGAGGTCGCGCGAAATTTGGAAACTTTAAACGCTTATAACTCCGATTATACAAAATGGTGAGGTTCAATGAGTGGTTTCATTGGTTTCCTCGTGAAATTTTCTTCCAGCGGCACCCCTTAAAATTAAAAAGTGACAAAATAAACATCGATATTTGAAGTTTTGGTCAAAAATGTTATGTCCAACCTTTCGATCCACTTCTAGCGTCCCAGACGATGGCCAGATAGAGGAGAACGCAACACTTTTAACGAGAAATTCAGACTGATGAGTGTTGAAATTACTGCCTAGCTTCTTAATATAACGATTGAAAAAATTGAGCATTTTCACCCCGAATAAAAAAAAAATAAATAAATAAAACAAAAACAAAAAAAAAAAAATTTGAAAAAACGGGGGGAAAATAAAAAAAAATTGATGAAAGTCATCGCTCATTTTTGCGAGAGCGTTTACCGGAAAAACACTAATGCTAATTATATCGCTTCGTTTTTCGCACTTTCACCCCCCCCTTAAAGTTACGTCATTTCCGAACTGAACGATCTAACTTTCTTCGTTATTCGACTGACGATTTTTTAGTAGAAATACGGCAACCTCAAATCCGCGTGGCGTCTGGAATGATAGATGGCCCGGCGTTTTCCGGTCGGAAATAGGTATGTTTTCGCTATTGATTATCAAACAGCCGAAGCTTCGTGTTTCTTTCGGCGTGGCACATGAGCGTGACAAATCAAACTTTATCCTGCGTGTCTGCGAGCGGCTTACATGTGACGTTCGGAATTTCAGGCCTCATTTCAGGTGTGATCTCCGAGTCTATCGAGCGAATTTCAACCTGCGAAATATCATCATGACAGATCGGTTGCCGCGACCCGTAGACCCGTCACGCGGGGCACGAAAAGTATACGCGTTCGCGTAGGGCGTAAATCGCGGCGACGCCAAAATTTCTCGCAACGAATCTTTATTTTATTTTGTTTTCGGGAGTTCTATGATACTTCTTGCTTAATGATACTTTTTGCGTTAATGTTTATTTAATTAATATACTTCTTTATATACATGATGTTTCTCCTGAAACTAGTCGCGTCATTTTGGAACTTCGGAAATTCCAAAACTGAATTCTTAGATAAGTTCTTTAATTCTCTTTCTAGTCTTTAGAGGATTAAGCCCCTTGATTGATGTGCCATTCGACAATGGCGGATCCAGCAAATTGGCAACACTGTCTTTTCTCCTTTCTCCACGTAAACCTACGGAAATGTATCGGGAAATGTATACGGAAATGTATCGGTATGTGTAGGAAATGAACCTACGGAAATGTATCGCGATACATTTCCGTAGGTTTACATGGAGAGAAGAATCGCGATTCTTGGAGGGGCCAGGTGCACCGACAAGAATCGAGTATTTAGCATAATAATCGATTCTACGTTCTCCCACAGTACGGCAAGCTGCCATGAAGATACTGATCACTTGCGCGACGCCTCCATTGATAAATTGCTATCGAATGACTATGATCGATAAATAACATTGCTAAAGTAAGAGACACTGTCCAGGTCGATCGACAAAGATTGAACGATCGAGCCGTAATTTAATCTTTAATGCGATGTCAAATCAGGAGAATTCCAACGCTAAATGCAAAGGTAAAGTTAGGAGGAAAATTTCCTTGGACCGAACGCATGGAGTACTTAGTAAGTTGTCTTGTTTTTCTCTCTCTCCCTCCTCTCCCTCTCTCTCTCTCTCTATCTCCTCCTGTTGTGCGGGCTTCCTCGCTCGCAGTCTTCGCACCTTCAGGCGGATCAGACAATCCGCGAGTGCGGTTAGCGCCATGAGATGAATACCACAATCCTCCGATTCAGTGAGGGTTTTCGCAACTTGTCAACACTGTTTCGTCTCCATTTAATCCATTCTAAAAATCGATTCTTCGTGCTAAAGGCTGCGTTGTCTGGAATCGATAGTTGAACACATATTTAAATGGACGAGACGCTTTGTCTCCAACTTGCTTGAATCGCCACTGTTCTCGATCAGCCGTGGTTACGTAATTCCTGGCTGGGCTCCAGTCAGCGGCCCCACGCTCGCACACTCTTGAGAATTTTTCTCTGATTTTGTTCTTTTTTTGCGTGCTGAATAATTATCTTATTCTAATAAAGAATGCATTGCGCTGCGTTGATACGAAAAGTTCGGGTGACTAACTGAAAATAATGTTTTGTTTAGTTTTTGTTCCTCTCATACGAGACTGGTTTTTATCACATTCAAAGGGATAAGTATGAGTTTGTCTTGCTCCAGTGAGATTCATGATCTCGCGGCTTCGATAAGTTCTACTATGACGTGCCAACTCCAGTAAACTGTGGAGAAAATGTTGATCTTCGTAAGTTAATACGCTGTGATTTTTGTGAAAATGTTTTGGACCCGCGAATATCAACCCGTTACCATAACCTACCGCTACACATTCTGAAATTCATAAGACAGTATTTGTTTTGGAGTGCATCGCTATACAATTTCGTGATATTTCGGAATCCATCCATATTCTCGTGTAAAGAGTGCACATTTGTTGTGATAGTTGATCATGCGTACACATGCGTAGTACAGACGTAAGTATTAAAAAGTGTTCCAAAAAAAAGGTGGGAAAAACATGGAGTATATTAAAAGTTTAAACATTTGACAGTTTGTTAATTTATGATCAAGGTGTTGCGTCAAGTAGTCCTTAAATGTTGCCAAATGTCCCGTGATAAAATACGAATTTACATGAAAACTTCCATAAATATTCCTTAAAATTTTTCGGAGAATCCTATTGATAATATCTAACCTATACAGTATCTGAACATTTCAATGTGAACAATTCATAAATTTCGTCAAACACGAATATTTCACAGGGAAAATTTGGCAACATCTGGATATTCACATAGCAATATTTCCTTCGCACTGAGTTTTACCTGTCGCGTATTTCTGAATGAAAATTTTACAATTTTTTTTCTGATGGATAAGAGAAATTTTGAACTACAATCTCCATGTAACATTTTATTAGACTTTTTTTTTCTTTTTTTTTTTTTCATTAACTTTGCTAACTTGGAAAAGACGTTACATTCTTGCATCCATAAAATGACGTTATTTGCTGTACATTTACATTTCCCTCTCATTATGGATAACATCTTGTTTTCTTGCAGAAGTCCCTGATTGCCTGAATCCTACTATTTACTTCACCCAAAATGAAACGCACATCATGGCCGAATCTAAGGCATTTTATGTCGTTGATGATTCTGTTTTATTTCACATTATTTCAATGTTCTGACTGTTTCAAAGTCCTATTTCTCTTTCCGTTGACCACAAAAAGTCATTTTGGCGCCCTTAGCGTTTTGGCTGAAGAACTGGCACGAAGAGGTCACGAAGTCACTGTCTTGTCGCATTTCCACAAGGAAAAAGCAAATTACAAGGAAATCATAATGGACAGCGACAGACACAGGAATCTCTCCACAATGAAAGGTAGATTTGATGGGAAGTTTCAAAATTTAAAATTATGTTAGCAATTAATAGAACTATTTAGATACTGTGATAGATGTACAGAACAAAAAAAATTAATCTCAAGCCATATAAATCGATTAATTCAGCAAGGGTCTCCCAATTTCTAGCACAAAGTCCTTAAATCCTTAACCATGCACGGTGCCCCTGAACTCACTTTAAATGCGACTTTGTTGTACATCAAAAATTCAAGTTGGAGGTTGTAGTGGGGTACTCCCTGATGGGTTTTTGGGCAATTTCGAAATAGGTTGTCGGAGCTCCTCGAAAAATAATCGCATTTTTGTGGTTTTTTAGGGGTAAAATAGCAAAATTGGCCTCCGGGCGACAAATTAAACCCCCTCTCCCTCATCCTTGCCTTGACCGATCTGAATTTTTAGTATGTTTTTACCTGGTATAAGATGGGACTTTTCTGAAATTTTCATGCCCATACAAATTTTTTTGCTCCCGCGGCAGCGTTGCCAAGTTGCGGACTCCAAAATATCGAATTTAATGATAAAATGAAGGTTTCGGAGTGTGATTTCCATTCAAAATCAAAAATTCAAATTGTAAGTTGTAGTAGGGTACTGCCTGATGGGGTTTTGGCCAATTTCGAAGTAGAGTGTTTGAGATTTTTGAAAAATAATCGAATTTTTGCGGTTTTTTAAGGGTAAAATAGCACACTGAGCACGGGGCGGCAAGTTGAACCTTTTCTCTCTCATCCTTGCCGTGACCGATCTGAACTTTTAGTATGTATTAACCTGGTATAAGATGTGACTTTTCTGAAATTTTCATGCCCATACAAAATTTTTTGCCCCCCGCGGCAGCGTTGCCAATTTGCGGACTCAAAAATATCGAATTTGATGATAAAATGAAGGTTTCGAGGTGTGATTTCCTCCAAAATTTCACGAAAAATGTGCAATCTGAGAGTTTTCGATAAGAAAAGGCATATTTGAACAATTTAGAGTTGCAGTGTTGCCAGCTTTTGATTTAAAATTCGTCAAAATGACCCAAATCGCGTTGCAACCTCGAGCGCTGGATTTTTATTTCGTTCAGAATTGGTTATTACGGTTCTTCTGTACTCTATGCATTTAGGTACCATGAAAATTATGCCATTACTTACTTGATGGGTGCAGCTAACTCAAAAAGAGAGGCCGGATAAAGCGATGAGTCGGGGGAAAACGAGCGGTTCGGGTTGACAGAAAGTTCTTAAATCTACTCCATCACCAGAAAGTAGAATTTGAGAACTTTCTCCCACCCCCCAAACCTTATCCCTGTTGCAGTCAATCCTTTGAACATCTGATCTGAAATTTTGCCCCCGAATTTTTACCAAAAACATGATGTGTTTTTGCACAAAAACGTGTTTTTATTTTTCATGTTTTTGGTAAAAATTCGGGGGCAAAATTTCAGATCAGATGTTCAAAGGATTGACTGCAACAGGGATAAGGTTTGGGGGGTGGGAGAAAGTTCTCAAATTCTACTTTCTGGTGATGGAGTAGATTTAAGAACTTTCTGTCAACCCGAACCGCTCGTTTTCCCCCGACTCATCGCTTTATCCGGCCTCTCTTTTTGAGTTAGCTGCACCCATCAAGTAAGTAATGGCATAATTTTCATGGTACCTAAATGCATAGAGTACAGAAGAACCGTAATAACCAATTCTGAACGAAATAAAAATCCAGCGCTCGAGGTTGCAACGCGATTTGGGTCATTTTGACGAATTTTAAATCAAAAGCTGGCAACACTGCAACTCTAAATTGTTCAAATATGCCTTTTCTTATCGAAAACTCTCAGATTGCACATTTTTCGTGAAATTTTGGAGGAAATCACACCTCGAAACCTTCATTTTATCATCAAATTCGATATTTTTGAGTCCGCAAATTGGCAACGCTGCCGCGGGGGGCAAAAAATTTTGTATGGGCATGAAAATTTCAGAAAAGTCACATCTTATACCAGGTTAATACATACTAAAAGTTCAGATCGGTCACGGCAAGGATGAGAGAGAAAAGGTTCAACTTGCCGCCCCGTGCTCAGTGTGCTATTTTACCCTTAAAAAACCGCAAAAATTCGATTATTTTTCAAAAATCTCAAACACTCTACTTCGAAATTGGCCAAAACCCCATCAGGCAGTACCCTACTACAACTTACAATTTGAATTTTTGATTTTGAATGGAAATCACACTCCGAAACCTTCATTTTATCATTAAATTCGATATTTTGGAGTCCGCAACTTGGCAACGCTGCCGCGGGAGCAAAAAAATTTGTATGGGCATGAAAATTTCAGAAAAGTCCCATCTTATACCAGGTAAAAACATACTAAAAATTCAGATCGGTCAAGGCAAGGATGAGGGAGAGGGGGTTTAATTTGTCGCCCGGAGGCCAATTTTGCTATTTTACCCCTAAAAAACCACAAAAATGCGATTATTTTTCGAGGAGCTCCGACAACCTATTTCGAAATTGCCCAAAAACCCATCAGGGAGTACCCCACTACAACCTCCAACTTGAATTTTTGATGTACAACAAAGTCGCATTTAAAGTGAGTTCAGGGGCACCGTGCATGCGAATTAACTTCTACATCTGACAGAGCAGAACCACACTTTAATGGACCATAAGTTCTTTGTCGAATATCAAGGGAAATCGATCATCAAAAAACACGACGATCTGTGAGCTAAAACCTTCATAGCAAGATTTTGTGACTATTGCAAGTGACAAATAACCGCCCAAGACTTATCGATGGTGAAACTACCAAACCACGTATCTCTGTTTGCGACGTCGCTGACTTCCTGTCATACTTTATGTTTTAAATGGAAAACTACTCAGCGTCAATTCGTGATCACTTCCGTGATTTTTCCTCTTCGTGCGGAGAAATATCCATTAAGGAAATTCTATTCTAAGGAATGATATTGATTTGATCTCCTTCAAAAAAAGAAAATGCGAGCAGAGATTTTTGAACACCGCAAACGGGATACGCGGTCTGGTAGTTTCACCGTCGTTATGTTTCTTTCCTTGTCTTCTTTTACTACCGCGGTGTGGACCTCGGCGGTTGGGCTGCTTAGCTGCCAAGGGGCGACTGTTTAGCTCTATGGCAAGAAAAAATTAAGCCCAGATGGGAAACTTAACGAGACGTTCTCTTCGCTGTTGCAGAGTTTAACGCTACGAAATTTCAAGAAGACAGCCCGCTCATAACCCGATTCTTCACGTACATGTACTTCAATTCGCAAGTTGAGCTATGCATATCTTCACAAAAGATCCTGGAACTGGTAAAATCAAATGAGCACTACGACGTCGTAGTCGGAGAAGTGGGTTTTTTCCAGCCGTTCATTGTTGCTCTCGGCCACAAATTTAGCGCCCCCGTCGTGGACATCTTCCCTTCTTCTCCATTCCCTCACGATTTCAGCAACATGGGTACGTATGCGAATATGAGGACTTATATGTAACAATGGCGGATGTGAAAAATTACCTTTTCGAAACAAGTTCAAAAAACTTTTTTGGCATCGAGAAAATTTTGAGAAAATACTTGAGATGTGATCTTCGAGATCTCTACATTATGTCAGAGCCGAACATATTGGATTTTTGTGCGACCAAAACAGTGTTTAGGCGTGTTTCGGAAAGGTAATTTTTTACATCCGCCATTGTTACACATAAGGCCTCATATACTATTCTAATTTTGAGAGCATTAGCGTGAGCTTTACTGCCTACATTTGAACAGCATTACCTAGTTCTCTGTGGGCACTACTCCTGCCTAACCTACCTATTTCGTACACTGTCATGCTAAAGAAAAACGCCGTATGAGACTTCAGACGTTGCCGAAAGTCTTCAGATTAAAACACAAATTTCCAGAGAAAAGTGTGGATATTTTCCTCCAAATTTTTCAGAGAATTTATACCGCAATTTAATCTACAATATCTGTTTAAGTGAAAAATATTTATATGTCCTTAAAAATGAATGTTTAATAAAGGGAAATTTGGCAACCCTCGGATGTTCATACGGCGTTTTTCCCTAGCACAGCAGTACAAGGCTAACAGTGATCAAGAGGTACGTAATCATGCATGCTCTTACTTAAGTTGTCGGCTAAGAAAGTTGTTTTGTTGTCTTCCCGATTTTACTCCACATAATTTTTTATCTGGATGGTGACTAGTAAATGACGAGAATACGAGTCGATCTTTTTTATGAAGCAAAGAGATTTTCTTTACGGTTGTATGATACGCTACGATGATACCAATATCTATCTGTTTATATCGTCTTAACTTGTTTACAGGGAGCCCTATTTCATTTCCAAGCATTCCTGATCCGCTTCTTCCTTTCAGTGATGAAATGAGTTTTATGGAAAGGCTGGAAAACATGGTGACTGGACTGTGGGACCTAGCACTGTTTCATTGGTATTTATTGCCCTCTCAAGAGAAGCTAGTCAGAGAACATTTCAAGTATCCTGGAGCGGACAGTATGCCACCACTATCGAGCATGGTCAAGAACATATCATTGATGCTGGTTAATTCCCATTTTTCTATTGAATATTCGCGCCCTCTAGTATCAAACGTGATTGAGGTTGGCGGAATGCATATAAATCCTGCGCAAAAGCTGCCACAGGTAAAAAATGACATGAATGCCGTTTTTCAACTTTTGTAATACACTCATTACCAGTTTTTCTTGATGATTTCTGAAAATTTTCAGAAAATCATTATTGGGGGCAATTTGGTGTAAGCGACGACTAGAGACGTAACATTTTAATTACAAATGTCTACAATGGACTAGAATACAAATTGTCTCTAGCTAATGACCTTGCCAGAATGAAGGTTTCTGGTTGCTTTCTAGAATTTATTCATCAATATAATTCAGTAAGACTAAACTTTGATAAAGGTGAAGCTACTGAATAAAATACCCGTCGCAGGGTCTAATTTTAAAACTACTTCTAATTATGTCCGGAGAATAGAGCTCGAGACATGACCCTATTCAAATCATGTAAATATCGTTTTGCGACTCAGCAGCAAGCTGTGCTCGGTCACATAATTGAGTGCTTCAGATTAAACATGTATTAAGGGAACTATGAAAAGTTTAGCTGAAATGAAATGTGTTTCAGGACTTACAAACTTTCATGGATGAAGCAGAGCACGGAGTGATCTACGTTAGTTTTGGCTCTATCGTTACGGGCACTATGCTTGGAAAGTATCGTGCTCAACAAATTGCGAACGCCCTTAAAAGGCTGAAATATCGAGTCATTATCAAGTGGGACGATCCTACGTTATTCGAGGGTGACCAAAATATCGTAACTTTCACCTGGGCACCGCAGCAGGAAATATTAGGTAGGTTAGCGTATTTTCCACGCGCAAATTACAGACCATGTCTGCACTGCCCCTAATTTTCATCACAGCCCCGATGGTAAGCAAGTTATTCCTCACGATGAAAACTCTTCGATATCCGAAATTGCTTTTCACAGCCAAGGAATCAAAATTTCATCATCTGTTGAAACACTGTACAGTGTTCAGGCACTAGCTTATATCATGATAAGTTTTTAAGCTCTAAGGGACGTTATACTCGCTGTAGGTCTATATTTGAAAACCACCAAACATTCTTATACATTCAGGGTGACAGCTAGGAGACTACGTTTTCGATCAAAATTGATGGGATTAGTCACTGAACAACCCAACAATTAAGTATGGCAGATGTAAGTACATCATCCTATGTACATGGAGTACATTCGAGTCAATTAATGAAAAACCAGCATTTCTACGTCAAGGTGAAATAAAAACCACACCATCGATGGCTAAATGCAAAAGACGTTAACTCCCATCGAAATGTTTGAAAATCTTTAATTAGGTATGTGTTCTTTTCTTACTTTTTAGAAAAAAAAATAAATAAAAAAATAAGAATGAAATAAATGTAAATAACCTGCGCTTTTTTGTGCAATTAGGTACGCGTATTTTTGAACGGAAGAAGAAGCGGCTTTTGTGAACGGCTCATAGAAAATTTCAAGAACAGCTGTTGGTATTTTTAGCTGTCATAGCTATTCGTGTTTACCTGTCGTATTATTTTCAACAGATAAAATATTAGCAAAGATTCCTAACGTCACAACCGGAAATGCGCATTTTGTTACTTCAGCTATGTTTCTTCCGTTGTTTATTTGCAGCGTCCGTCATTTATGGGTCCTAGGAGCTCCATGAAGCTCAAGATCGAGGAGACAATAAAAAACCATAGCTAAATGGCAATACTCTATCAAGTTACTTTAGAGGTTAGTTCTGCCTTGCTAAGGAAAAACGCCGTATGAACCTTCAGGTGTTGCCAAATTGCCCTCGATAAAACACGGATTTCCTGGTAAACTTGTGAATATTTTCCTTCCAACTTTTCAGATAATTTTGTTCGCAATTTCATCCAGAGTTCCTGAAAATTTCAAAGGAAAATATTCATAATATTCCTCCAAAATAAACATTTTATCGGAGGAAATTTGGCAAATCTCGAATGTTCATACGGCGTTCTTCCTTAGCACGTCAGAGTTGATGACGATTTCAAACTGTCTGTTCTGCTAGAGTCCCTTTATACCCAGAGTTAAGACAACTCGATTATCAGCTGACTGACAGCCGGCCTTGGCTGGCCATGGAGGCCGAAACGAGTGCACCCAAACGAACGATATTGAGGGATAAGGATCAGGAATCCTGCGATGTCTGTCACACAAAAACAACAACATCAACAAATTGATCAATTAAAAAGAAAATGAGATTGGTTTGTGAAAAATTTCTTATTCTCTTTTCATTTTGGACCGATGGAAATGACAATTTACTCTTGATAAACCACAATTAGGTGATATTTTCATTATTCTTGTTCACATTCGAGGTACCGCCATCTTGGTGCACTCGTTTCGGCCTCCATGAGCGAGAACCAATCAGAATTGGATTTTTTTTTAGGCCACTTTCAGCCGAACCAAAAGTGAGTTGTCTTAACTCTGGGTATAAAGGGACTCTATGTTCTGCGATTTTCCCCTACAGCTCACCCGAAGCTGCTTCTGTTCGTCACTCACGGAGGTTTCAACAGTTTGATTGAGGCCACTCACTTGGGAGTTCCTGTTCTTGGCATCCCTGTGTTCGCGGATCAGTTTCATAACATTCGCATCATCGAGTTACGCGGTATCGGCAGAGGACTTGACCTTGCCTTCACCTCCGATCAACTTTACGATTCTATTATTCACATCGTCCAGACGCCCTCGTAAGTTTTCCATCTCAGACACACTGGAAAAAAAAAACACATTGGATCTAGAGTCCAGACTCTTGAAAACATTGACAAGAAAAAGGACTCTTGATTCAATCAGATTTAAGCTTAAATCAAAAGGAAATCCGCTCAAATTAAGAGGCTGGTTCTTGATTTAAGCTTAAATCTGATTGAATCAAGAGTATTTTTCCCTGTCGATGTTTTCAAGAGTCTGGGCTCTAGATCCAAAGTGTTTTTTTTCCCAGTGCACTACTCCGGTCATTATACGCGATACCAAATTGAATCGATTGCCCATTGAGTGTCACGCGGAATTCCCGCTACTTTTAAAAATAATACGACAGTAAATACTTCTTTTTCAATCCGAGAAACTGAGGGCAATATTACCAGCAATTCATTAACTGCAGTCCTCAATTTTAAGATTTGTTTAAACCCATGCAACCCATGTAAAATTTTAAAAACACGATTAACAAGGTAACCGAAGTACATTTTAGTAGTTTCAGCATCTTATGCTTTGGTATGGGACGTTTGACAATTGTGGAATTAAAGAAAGCATTCACTGGGAAAAAAACCACACATTGGACCTAGAGTCCAGACTCTTGAAAGCATTGACAGGAAAAAGGACTCTTGATTCAATCAGATTTAAGCTTAAATCAAAAGGAAATCCGCTCAAATTAAGAGGCTGGTTCTTGATTTAAGCTTAAATCTGATTGAATCAAGAGTATTTTTCCCTGTCGATGTTTTCAAGAGTCTGGATTCTAGATCCAATGTGTTTTTTTTCCAGTGCACTACTCCGGTCATTATACGCGATACCAAATTGAATCGATTGCCCATTGAGTGTCACGCGGAATTCCCGCTACTTTTAAAAATAATACGATAGTAAATACTTCTTTTTCAATCCGAGAAACTGAGGGCAATATTACCAGCAATTCATTAACTGCAGTCCTCAATTTTAAGACTTGTTTAAACCCATGCAACCCAAGTAAAATTTTAAAAACACGATTAACAAGGTAACCGAAGTACACTTTAGTAGTTTCAGCATCTTATGCTTTGGTATGGGACGTTTGACAATTGTGGAATTAAAGAAAGCATTCACTGGAAAAAAAACCACACATTGGATCTGGAGTCCAGACTCTTGAAAACATTGACAAGAAAAAATACCCTTGATTCAATCAGATTTAAGTTTAAATCAAAAGGAAATCCGCTCAAATTAAGAGGCTTTATTCTTAATTTAAGCTAGATTCTAGTTGAATCAAGAGTACTTTTTCTTGTCGATGTTTTTAGGAGTCTCGACTCTAGATCCAATGTGTTTTTTTCCAGTGTTTCAACATTCTCAGTCTTCAAAATGGTCTAATGATAATGATTCATCAGTTACAGGGACAACGCGAAAGAGATCTCTAGAAGAACGCGAGATCGACCACTCAGTGCATTGGACACAGCCATCTTTTGGATAGAATATGTAGTGCGCTACAAGGGCGCCAGTCATTTGAAATCGTCCTCTCGTCATTTGCCATTCTATCAGTATTTGCTACTGGATGTTATTTGTTTCGTTTTTTTGGTCATTTTTGTAACATATAAGATTATCAGTGCAATATTTTGCAAACTATGTCATAAGAAAACGCGAATTGATAGGGAAAAACGAGATTAACCTTTTGAAATTTAAATAAATAAAAATTGATTCAAAACTCATTTGACCACTAGGTGTCAAAGAGGGCACTTTTACGCTGCGGTATCTTAGAATATCCTCTGAACTTTCATCCGTTTCGATCAAATCGAAAGTATGGAATTAGTTGAACATTTTACTGAAACTAATATATTTTATATGCTTTGAGCAATCAATGACTTTATAGTGCTCTAAACGATAAATTTCATAAAATTCACCCAATATAATCCTTTCTAAAATATTTGACAGGAACTGTGAAAAGAGACCTTGTCTTTTGGGAGAAATCGCAACCAAGTGTCCTTTCAGCATAAATCCATCGCCTCTTTTCTGCTTCCAAGACCTTTTTCTTAGACGCGGAACCGCCGCATGGACCTTCAGACGTTGCCAGATTTCCTTCAATAAAAAAAAAAAAGCACTGGGAAAAGTTTAAACATTGTCTTGAAATTTTTCAGACAATTTTGTTCGAAATTTGAATTATAGTGTATGAAGAAAATTTCAAGGAAAAATATGAATGACTTTCCTCAAAAAGCCATGTTTTATGGGGGGGGGGGCAACCCCGCATGTCCATACGACGTTTTTCTTCGGCACGGTAGTGCGCGCTGCCGTACTAAGGAAGAACGCCGTGTGAACATTCGAGTGTTGCCAAATTGCTCCGAATAAAACATGTATTTTTAAAGAAAGTTATGCAAAGTTTCCCTCGAACTTTTCAAACGTTTTAGATAAAATTGTGAACAAAATTTTCTGCGAAAATTGGAGAAAAATATTGACGATTCTCTTAGTAAATTAAGTTAATATTGAAGGAATTATGGCAGCGTCTAAAGGCTTATACGGCGTTCTTCCTTAGCACAGCAGTACGGTCCAGGGTGTTTGACCCCGAGACGCAGGATAATCGCTGATAGGGCGGTGAAGGGGTCGCCAGGGTTCGGGGGAGGACTCGGGGGGAGATTAGGGTCCATTTGCGAAGACTGCGCGGATGTAATGTTGGGCAGGGGGGGAGGGGAGCGGTGGTGGCGCTCTTGGGGAGGATTTTAGGTGACGCGGCTGCAGCTCAGTCGTGCGTGAGAATGGTTCATAAATTATCTGCAAAGCTGCGTCGCGTCGCGGTCGTCAGCGTCAACCGGTGCAGCAGCAGCGTCGCGACGTCCCACTTGACGGCCCGACGCGTCTCACGTCGTCGTCCCGCGCTCAGTAAGCTCGAATCCAGAGACTAGCATTGGTATTAAATGAGTTATTAGAAGAAGGGTGCAATTTAACAGAAGCAAATATCACAGGAGCGGCAAAAAACGTGTTTCCTCGTCGAGCAGGATGACTAAAATTGATCCCGATCCCCATTGGTGATTCTTAAAAGTTGGCAACGCTGGTTTTCCTTCATTTTGATACGTTGAAAATATCGATTTTAGTTGAGGCATCTCACTAAGAATCGATTAATTTACATACATTTAAATAGAGGAAACACAATGTGAAAGTTTCAAGAATTGCAACTACCGATCCTCGTTGTAAGTTTTGTATCTCGTTCCTTTTTTTTTTTTTTTTAAATGATGTAAACATAAAAAAAGTCTTTAAAAATGTGCTTTTGAGAACTCAGATCCGAACTAACACATTTTCATTCTTATTGAGTCAAGATAATCCGGAATGCAGCACAGTGTAACTCACTATCCTCTCAGCACTGCAAGTCTATCGCAGGCAAATATCAATCACCGGTAAAAGTCAATCTATTTGTGTTGAATATAAAAGGTAACAATTTAGCAGTACAGAAACTAAGAAGAGAGTACTAATTACTGTGCTTACAATTCAAGCAAGTTTTTTATTTTTTCATTTTTTTCCCCCTGGCACGGCACCAGCTACCTCAGTTAAGTTTGGTTTGGATAAGCAACTAAACAAACTGGATGGCACGGCGGAGAGTGTCACTGAGATTTGAAGGAGCTCTAGGCTGCCTTTGTGCTTTTAAAGCTCTTCATCAATAAAACGTTTAATACGTGGATACTTATCATCCAAATTTGACGAGTTAAAACCCATGGCAATTAAAAATTTCTTATAAAAAATTGCTGACTGCCTGCGGCATATCCTTCCTCTGCAGAGATAAATATTTTACGTATTATGAAGCTACTAGACACACAGAAATCAATTTTTCACTACGCAAATTGTGTTCACAATTTCTACGGTTCTAATCCACTAATTTGAACGAGCAGAAAATTATTAGCACTGAAATTAATCATCAACACTTAATCATTTAATTACATTGAAGTATCTTAATTATACCCTCTGTGCGCTGCTCGGCGGAGCAAAAGCGCCCTCAACCCCCCTCTCGCCACGTGGTGAGGAATTGAAAGGCGGGGCCTAGAGAGATTAACATTTGCGCGCGTGGTGATTAAATACAGCTCGCTTGTCAGGCTTACGCAAAAAATCAAAATTGAACGGCCTGTCGTAAAATCCCCCGAGAACTATTTCCAAGGGTTCTTATGAGCTTACGCTTTTCAGAAGGGTGGTCTGGGTCGGTTACAAAATCTTAGTCATAGTCTTGAGATGCCTATACTGCTTTTGTAGAGATTATCATATCACTACCGGAAGTCTCGCAATATCACGACTTTTCAAGGCGGTATCATTATAGAGCTTATCGACAAGAAGAATACTGCCGGGCTAGGGAAAAACGCCGTATGAACCTTCAGGCGTTGCCAAATTTCGAATGATAAAAAACCGAATTTTCTGGTAGGTAAACTTAAGAAAAAAATTGTTTCCCAATTTTTCTGATAATATTGTCAGCAATTTCACCTAAAGTTCCTGAAAATTTCAAGGAAAAATATTCATAACTTTCTTCAAAAATAAACATTTTATTTAAGGAAATTTGACGACTCTCGGATGTTCATACGGCGTTCTTCTTTAGCATGGCAGTCAGTAGAGATCATCATATCACTACTGGAAGTCTCGCAATATCACGGCTTTTCAGAGTGATATCATTGAAGAGCTTATCGACAAGAAGAATACTGCCGTGCTAAGGGAAAACGCCGTATGAACCTCCAGGCGTTGCCAAATTTTTCCTCTGGTAAGACAGGACACGAATTTATAGGGAAAATTGTTAATATTTTTCTTCCAATTTTGAAGACTGTTTTGTACGCAATTTCATCAAAGATATCTGAAAATTTGAAGGAAAAATATGCATGAATGTTGTCAAAAATACATGTTTTATCAGGGGAAATTTGGCAACTCTCGAATGTTCATACGGCGTTCTTCCTTAGCACGGCAGAATGACGTGAGCAGTTTCAAAGCGAATTTCGATGTGATTCAGAAGAGGCTCATGCTTTATTTTAATGAAAGGGACTGTTATTATACGCGATGAGCATCCGATCTTGCTTCAAGCTCGACTCGAATTTACAAAAGGAAAATTCAAAGTCATACTGAAGAATTCAATTCCTCAACTATCGATTACTCATGGGACACCCCTCCGTACCCTATCTGTCTTTCAGCACCATAGCTTAGTCTACGGACGAATTGAATACTTTCACTGAGTTAAGTCATCCCGTTTTCTGAGGCAACTCTCGAATCAATCATTGAGCTTTTGAAAGTGTCAACTCCGAGAGGGAGATTTAAGATATTAAACGGTTTAAGCTGTATTGATCAGGAGGTATTTCACCTCTATTAGCGCTTAATTTTTGATGACCTTCAACGTTGCCGTTGGGAAAACTTTAAAAAGCACGCGGGAAGAGCCCCTTCAAAACTTAGAATCATTAATCATTCTCTGATGAGCATTTCCCATCCGTTCCTCTGCACTTCTGCTGGTTGTATAAGTTCATGCTGTAGACGTATTTCACCTGATAGCTGAAATTTTCTGGGTTTTTGTTTCCTATTTAACTGTTGTATCGATTGATATCTCTCGCAACAAGCAAGAACCAAAGGTGATGACTTCTGATATAAACCCTTGGGAGTTTATAGCAGTTATTTAATTGATTATTATCAAGGTGTCGACAAAAACAGGTTGGGCAAAAAGTAGCACTTTTACAGTACTTTTTCAGTACATTCTTAAGAAATTCAATACCTCATCAACAGAAAAATTCGGTTCTTTTTCAGTACCTCCATTCGACATTGGAAAAATTTTGAAAATTTGAAATTCTCGCTCAAATTGCGACAAAAATGACGTAGCCACGACTAACTGCACGATCGCGATCTTGTAGGCAAATACCACTCTAAGAATCAACGCACAAAGGATTGCATACTTTGCAGGCTTTATTAAAAAAACACGCGTGGTACGTAAGAACAAATTCCGGACTTTCTGCGAAATTTTCGCACTTTCAGTACTTCCGGACCTCCCTTAAAGAAATCATTACTATTTGTGGACTTTCCGGACTAGTAGACACTATGATAATTAGAATTATATAAGAAAAATACTTATATCAGCCTTTTTTACACACACCTCATCTAGGTCCAACATGAGTAAATTCCTGAAACTCAGTATTTCAATAAAGCGAAAAAGGGCTCGTTCTTTCTTTGTGTTCAATTCATTTTTAACATCGTTTATTGTATCAGTTTAAAATTTGACTGTAACGATGGTATCCTGAAACGTCCCCGATCTTATTTTATTTCTTTGATAACAATTCAAAATTTTCTAACTTCCTCGGGATTAAGTTGTTTTTGATAAAATTCCGTGTAAGGAGTGTGTGTTTAATTCTGTTGGTAACATTCTCTAACTCGCACTTTTTGAGAGACACGCAATTTTTATCGCAAGAATTCACCGAATGCTGAAGTGATTGTTAAAAAAGTTTTTTCGAAAAACTCCTTGTAATACATGCGGGTAGCTCTGCTGCGTTGTGAAGTGGGTGAAGAAACGTACGGATCCGATATTAGCAGATTTCGCAGAGTTCGCGGGAATCTCAAGAGCCTTTCCTCGACTTTGATTGTAGAATTAGTTTGAGAAGAACTTGAGAACTTTCAGAGCTAAATACGCCGGTAGCTCACGGATAAAATAATGCGCTGTAGCGCGATGCTGGCTTCGCTTAAAAATTGAGAAGAGGGCTTCTATCTAAAAACTCGGAGAAATTTCGCTTTACCTCACGTATTGTAAAATATCGATAGCATATATTTTTCGTCAGAACAGTTAAAGGATTATCATCTCTCCGGATCGATTTCTCTTTTAAAAGGTGTTCATGACCTCGTTTTTTTAAGGCACTTTTAAATAAATGA